GTAGGACAGTAGGGTATAATGAGTTCTTTGAGGTAAGATGGCGCCTGCCCATTAAGGGCTTTGTAGGCGAGAAGAAGAATTTTAAATTCTATCCTGTGTTCTATAGGGAGCCAGTGTAAGGCAGCCAGAACAGGAGTAATGTGGTCCCTTTTCCTAACTCTGGTTAGTACACGAGCTGCAGCATTTTGAATCAGCTGAAGCGACTTGACTGACTTCTTGGTACACCCTGATAATAAAGAGTTACAATTATCCAGCCTTGAAGTAACAAATGCATGGACTAGTTTCTCTGCATCGTTTTGAGGCAAGATATGCCTGATTTTTGCAATGTTACGTAGATGGAAGTAGGCGGTCCTTGAAATTGATTTTATGTGGGCGTTAAAGGATAAATCCTGATCAAATATAACACCAAGATTCCTTACAGTCTCACTGGAGGCCAAATTAATGCCATCCATAGTTAGTATATCTTAATTTGTTTCGTAGATTCTTCGGGCCAAGTACAATAACTTCAGTTTTGGTCGTGTTTAACATCAAAAAGTTTAAGGTCATCCACGTTTTTAAGTCCTTAAGGCAGTCTTGGATTTTATTTAGATGATTAATTTCATCAGGCTTGATTGATAAATATAGTTGAGTATCATCCGCATAACAATGAAAGTTTACAGAATGATTCCTTATAATATTGCCTAACGGAAGCATATATAATGTGAACAAAATAGGTCCGAGCACTGAGCCCTGTGGCACTCCATGGCTAACTTTGGTTTGCGTGGAAGATTCATCATTGACACGTACAAACTGAGAGCGTTCAGATAGATAGGACCTAAACCAGTCTAAAGCAGTTCCCTGTATGCCAACTAAGTGCTCTAGTCTTTGCAATAAGATATCATGGTCGATAGTATCAAATGCAGCACTGAGATCGAGCAAAACAAGAATAGAGACACGTCCCTTGTCAGAGGCTATTAGAATGTCATTTGTGACTTTAACCAGAGCTGTCTCTGTGCTATGATGTGTTCTAAAGCCAGACTGAAAATCTTCAAATAAATCATTGTTTTTAAGTAATCACACAACTGTTTTGCGACCCGCTTTCTCAAGAATTTTTGAGAGGAACGGAAGATTGGAAATAGGTCTATAATTGGCTAAAACCTCTGGATCGAGGTTGTGCTTTTTAAGAAGCGGTTTTATCACTGCTACTTTGAATGATTGTGGAACATAGCCTGATAATAAAGACATATTCATAATATTTAATAAATAAGTGCTAATTAATGGAAAAACTTCCTTCAACAGCTTAGTTGGAATTGGGTCTAACATACACGTTGATGGTTTAGAAGAGAGAATCATTGAATTTAATTGTTCAAGGTTTATGGCTGAAAAGCATTCTAGTTTACTATCTAGTGTAATATTAGAACTTACGTTTCCGGGAGCTGTTGATAACACTATACTGGTCAAAGGCAAGAGGTCATTAATTTTGTTTCTAAGAGTAACAATTTTATCGTTAAAAAAGCACATAAAATCATTACTACTGAGTGCTATGGGAATAGAAGGCTCAATCGAGCTGTGGCTCTCTGTCAGCCTGGCTACAGTGCTGAAAAGAAATCTTGCATTATTCTTATTCTCATCTATTAATGAAGAGTAGGCTGCTCTCGCTTTACGCAGTGCTTTCTTATATTCATTGAGAGTAATATGCCAAATTAAACGAGATTCTTCAAGTTTAGTGGAACGCCATATCCTTTCAAGTTGTCTCGACTTTTGCTTTATTTTGCGGGTTTCGGCATTATGCCATGGAGCTAATCTATGTTGTTTTATTTTCTTCTTTTTCAAAGTACTCCACTACAATTCAGAGGTTAACCTGGTATTTTTACTCCACTGCATTTATTTGAGTTACTCTGCAGATTCTGATTAATTATGTGAAATATAAACAACCCTTAAATCAGACTTTAGTTACACCTGAGTAAAATTCAGGTAAGGTGATTGTCAAGTGCCAACAATCAGGAGAGATATTTGATAGTTGGTGCTTGAGAAGACTAAACATGTATCTGCAATTGACATGAATGGAAACGAGTAATAAAGTATATTCATTACTCGTTATTCTCTACTAATAGTTAATTAAAGACTGTATATTATGGCTATTTTGCACATCCCTTTCAAGATTTTCAAAGGTTTATTGACATATCATATACACAACTACGGTGTAGTTATGCAATGAATGAAACACTTGGGTCACAGGTTCCTCAACAGTGCATTACAAGACATCTATCAATATGTGTGTACCTCCACCATCAAACTGTCATATTCTGCAAATTTCTTATTCTATCTACATACATAAGAGTATAATTCATATGTATAATATCAGTTAAAAATAAGTGCTTCAACATAGTTAACATTGCAGGAAAGCAATATATTAGACGTTAAGTACTTTGTCAGGCTTAATATTTATCTGTAGATAGATACCCCCAAAGTTTTTTTCTTATTTAAAAGAAGACCTTAATCTGTTATTTAATGTTTAAATAAAGGTTAATTCGTTTTTCTGTTTTGCACCTCCTCCTATTAATATCTTTGTACATTCTGCACTAAACTGTTTTATTGTAGAGATCACTTAGAGTATCTTCTTGATTTTTTACATTCTATATTTATACTTTCCCCCTATGAAAGTATGTACTCTTAATATTTTTTTAATCAAATATAACAATAATTCAATAACGTGCTTTAACCACTAGGAGGTGCACACAAGTTACACACAGCCATAATAACTTTGTATTATAAATGTAGGACACTTGTGTTTTCGTACAACATCTGAAGATGTGTAGTTTTATGCATGCTTTCACATAATTTTACAGCATATTGCTATACTATTTCAGACTCAGTAGTATACATTCAAAGAAAATCAGTAATATCTTTAAAAACTACAGTCCTTTCATATCAGCTGTGCACCGTTATGGTTTAAATATAACCTATCTGTGAATTAGATCAAATGTAAAAGTCAGCCGAATTAGTGTTGATACTGCAAGGAGACGTATTGTGTGAAGATAAATTGAAGATGTTGTTTAATTGTTGAATATATTTATGATCCACGTCAAGCATTCAGTTTCGGCGGCATTTTCTCAGTTTTTCCAAAGGTCTTCTCATCAGGGCTCTATAAATAAAGAACTACGGCAGATCTGTAATATACAATGCAGCCGAACCGTGTATTACAATGCCGTTATGTGATGACTTTCAAAGAGAAAAGCAAGAGCGCTCGGAATTAAGTATTCTTTTATTCTTTTAAAATGTTTTCCGGATTTAATATCATATAAACACCAAATCCCAGCATGCATTGCGGCTAAAACATCCAATAAGCGAGCTTAAAACCATAGCTGAGGATCTTGGGTAATCGCTCGAAATGCCTACGTCTGTTTCCGGTTATTTTTATTTTGAAATTCAGTTCCTGACGGACGCCAAAAAAGCCCGAGATTATGGAATTAAACCAATAAATAAAAGCAAGGATAATTGTGTGTTATTGGTGAGTAAATAACACTGTGTTATTTTGAAAAGAATAACAAATTAGAAGGAAAAAAAGATTTAAAAAATACAGATTTCAGTATCCTGAGGCTCTGAGCCCCATTTATTTTCCTCACAGACGGCAACAAAAGTCCGAAATTATACGATTTAAAATAAAAGCAATAACTGTGGCTTGATATTGAGTAAGAACATGTTTTTATGAACCACACAGCTTCCGGTCTCCCACGACCCGACCGGAGAAAAAGACGTGCTGCAGGCAGTAGAAATACATTGCTTTTAAAATCGTGCTGTGCAACACGAAAAAAAGGGGCAAATCGTGTTGGTGAACACGAATCAATAGATTAAAAATCGTGTTAGTGAACACGAAATGCCGTGAGACTGGGTTGACTGGAGGGACATCTTGGCAGGCAGAAGCAAAAGATGCCAGAGCTTGTAAACACAGGAATTGGCAAAACGGATTGTACCAAGTGCATGCCCAATAATGGGGGGCATTGGGGATTTATAGTTGGGAGGTTTGGTGGTGCTTATGTTAATTGCTAAATTAAATGTCCTGTTTTGTTTAATATGTAGTGCCATTGGTAGCTTTTGGCTGTTTAAATGCTTGTTTCGAAATGTTACCCCGCATGCATGCATGGTCCTTGGTATTGTTTAAAGATGCCATACAAAACTGAATACATATTTGCTTGTGTTGCTACATGTTTTAGAGCGAAAACACTAGAACACAATAATGTATCAACATGTGCATACAATTGCTTGTGCCTTTAATACAACCATACTATTTACACTGCATATATATATATAGATATTTATAGATAGACTGTATATGAGCCAATGTAAAATACGTCTCATGCAGGATTATAAATGCATGCTGTACTTTTATGCAACTTTGACTGAATTTACACAACAAAGGCAATTTGGCTCTAACATGGCAAACAATTGGATAATAAAACCCCTTACATTTTCAGAAAGCGAATTGTGAACCCATCATTTTCACTTTAAAAAAAAGTTCTCCGAATTGTTTTATAGAGTGTCACTTGTGGTCATTGTCCACCATATAAGATTCTCATTGGGGAAACAATAACGTTTCAGATAAGGTTTACTGTCCTGAATCATGGACAAATACAGCATGTTTAATGTGAGGGAAAGTAGGGATTACAGACAGCACAGAATGAGTCAGAGTTGTAGTTCAGACAGTGATCTGAGCATCTGACCGAGATCGTTGTTGTTGTTTTGTGCATGCTGACCCAGCTAACCAATCTGAAAACTGGACAACTGAACAAACAGGAAACCATTTATCCAGGGCCAAGTTTTTCCGAAAGCTTCCTTCTGAAGCTCCAAAATTGCCTTTGTTCTTTTATGAGCCAAGCGACAATGATGTTCCAGGATTAATTTGATGTTTGGATACTGAGCCCGGTCCAGTTATGTAAGAAATGACGACAATCCGGCTCAGCTCTAATGTGGGACAGGATGTATCAGCTTCTTGTGTATATATTATATAACAATAGAATATCAATGGTGTTTAATGAGATTTAATTACACATTTAACCAAAGTTAAGTTAATGAAACCGATACAATGTTTAGACAAAACACTACAGGTGAATTGGGTTAAAAGAGATCTCTAAATGTCACCTTTACATTTAAAAAAAAAGTTTGCTGATGTAATGTTCAAATATGCAAATGAGCGGCCACATTGAATATGTGCTTGTTTTGGTAAATTTTGGAAAAATTCCATCCACAAATAGAAAAAGTATGATAAAATAAACACTTTGATAAGTATTTTATGTGTTTTCTTTCTGCTAGTCTACATGTTATGGAAGCAAAATAGCCGACACTCAAAAATAAGAAAGTGTGTGCCTGAAGTGCCTCTGATTGCCCTCATGAGATGAGGGCAATCAGAGATATCACAGCGATCAACATCTGAGTAACAAGTCAGCTTCATTTCCTTTTTTATTTTCCTTGAATACGGACTTCCTGCTTTGATGTTTCCTGCCTTTTGTATGTCCATAGATGTTTCATTTCATGTTATGGGAGTTTCCATCCAAGTCTGGAGAAACACTTCTGACTGTGGGCCAGCCCATTATGTGGGACATTTTTTATAGACTCAAATTGTTCCTAAGTTTGGACCAAAACTCTCAGTATGGAAAAATCTGTCCATAGAGGACATTACAACTATGTTAAATATGTACATTTTAGTTTATTGTTGATGCTGTTAATTTGCTAAATAATCAATGGAAGAATCCAGAATCTCATATCTGGTAAAATGACCAGGGGTATGATTCAAAGAGTTATTTCTACACATACAGAAATTAACTCAACTAGAAAAAACTAAAAGTATTACTCACATTAAGACATGCAGAAAATACTTTTCACAACACCCACAATAAAAGTAATTGTTGACTTCTGAGAATACAGTGACCTTGTATTAATGAAGAAATATTCTTATTTATCTCGGCCTTTAATCACAAAGACAACTGTGCACTTGTTTAAGCTCTGAATGAAATCCAACCTTATCATAGTGGTGACCCTATACTTGAAAATAAAAACTTTACAACACACAGAAACTTTAAGAACTTGACTTGTTATTTTAAATCTGGAATGAAATAAATATGACTATAGGCCTACATAAAATGTCATTAAAGACAGCGGACTGCGTGTTGAGTACAAATCAACAACTTTTTTTGATATTTTTTACAGGAAACAACAAATCACATTGGTGCCCCTGTTTTATGCAGACAAAAGACTGAGGCCAATTTATGTCCTGTGCTATTGGCACTTATTTAAATGTGATAATATGCATTTGGCGCAAAATTGCCCTCTTTCTTTGTAATGTTTTTGCTATGCTATTTTTTGTTCATTGCAAATACAGCCCAATATGCAAAGCTCAGTTGCCTCATGCTGTTACAGGGAAATTGCTGTCTTCAGGGTTTTCACAGCCAGACATTTGACATTTTATTCTCAGCTAGACTTCCTCCTGCCATATTCTTTTACAATCTGAAGGTGTATGTTTTAACCAAAACACCAACAGCAGAGACAGACGGAGATATTATACCATAATGTACGGTTTCTCTCACAGGCATTCCATGACTGGCTGTAAGTGTATCAGACACAAAAAGAGCAAACTGCACAAAGCTGCAAAATGAGACTTCCAGACTTATATTTAAAAAGAATAATAAAACCTAATAAAACTCCCTCATCAATGCATCCTATATTGTCATGAACCTACATATGGACCTAAAAATGTTGCTCCAATACAACAAGTCAATAAAATACACATTAACTCAACTTAAATGCTATCTAAACTATCTCATCCTTTTACACACTAATGTTTTCTGTGACAACACAAACAGTTGACAAGACAATCCCTGGATTACAATCAAAACGCCACATTTGCCCTTAAACTGTCCTGATAGTAATCAAGGGCTTACACTTCTGAAACAGTGATTTGAGGCAAACATTGTATCCGGTAAAAATGGCTTAAAAAAATGTCAGGGATCACTAAAAGGTTTCATCGACAGCATTGAAATAAAGGCACTACTGTATGTTAGCTACGTTAGCATCATTCGTTCTAACCAGCTACCACAATCAGAGAAATGCAAAAAGATTATGAAAAATGACAGCTCGTCCACAAAACAGTTTTTCAGAGAAGGAAGGTCCACCCCACAGTTGTCACTTTTAGAGTGTATAATATGTTGTAGCCCCAAGAGAAGGGGGAGTAGCAAGCCGGCTGTGCCCCCGGACGATTAACTGAGATCAGGCTGTGCACTCCCCTGTTCTTCCCACCGACCATGGTCCTCCTTTTCTGCCCTGTGAAGGAATGGACTGTCCTTCCTTTGTCCGACATCTTTGTCCATTTCCCATTGATCCTTCTGGGACCTTACTGTCCATACATTCCTTTCAAACAATGAGGAACAGCTGGGTGCTAGGAGTAGATGGTAATGACTTCCCGACCGCCTCCACGAACCAACAGGACACGGTCTAGGCCGTCCATCAGGACCTCCAGAAACTCCATATCTGAGAGTCAGTTTGGTTAAAGACAAACTGTACATTACAGCAACACAAGCTGCCATTTTCAGATTTGCATACTCTTAATTTCTTCATCTGGAAAGTACTCTGATTAGTGGTGAATACAGTATTTGCAACTTGCAAATCCTAAAAAGTTTTACTAATTTAAGTAATACCCTTCTTTGCATTCTTGCTGAGAGTTAGACAAGAAAATTAATTGCACTTTTTAGTATGGTAACAGCTACAGTCAGCAGCCAGTTAGCTTAGCATTAGGACTGAAAGCAGGGATAAACGGCTAGCCTTGAACTATTCCTTCAATATCTTAACAATATCATTATCCTTTGACCAATTTACTGTCCAAATAATGGCATTGCTAATTAAAAAATGTACTGATTTTGCCCAAAAGGATACAGTTCTCGTCCCCTTTCTTGTTCTTCGGGGGGCCCGGCATGTTTAGCAACACCAGCTGGGAATCTTTGGATTTCTTGAGCACCACGCCGTTCAGCTTCACAGCTGTGTGCATCCTCCGTACGTTGGACTGGTTGCTACATCGGAGCAGAGATATTAATAACAGCATTGGATAACATCTTTCACAGCTAAGGGAGTATGATTTTCTCAATCAGCAGTAAGAATGATTGAAAATCTGGTGATCATGAAGGCAAATACATTACTCAGTCACATGCAGCCTCCGTAGTTGTGATCATGCACTCTGACTCTCATGCAAAGTGGACTAAAGGTCTAATGACACACAAGCATGCCAATACGCAATTTATCATCACACTGCACATTCACAGATAGCTCATGCACGTTTATAAAAAAGAATCGAAAGTTGAAGAAGTGACTTACAGGGTTTCCCACTCTCTAGAAAAAAAGGTACAAAAAAACAAAACATGTCCAACATCAATGCATAATAATAAGGGCTAAACCTTGAGATATGGATTAAATAGGGCTTGTTTGTCCTGATGCAGTATAAACATACAAAAAAGGATCAACATTATCGAAGGCAAACCTTGAATGAGACAAAAGGCAATATGATGAAGAGCAGACATTTAAAAAAAAAAAAAGTGTGAAATGAGCGAATTACACCAATCCACATTGAGAAATGATCACAGTTTTAAACAAAACTACTTTGTCAGGTTATGTTAAGACTGTTATGCAAGTCTGCCTATATATATATGTTAATTAAAATAAGTAATTATTGATTTTGATATCACTACAGGACACAAACAGATGTCTTTAAGTGAAGGTCCTGTGTTGCACACTAGCAGCATGTGAATTTATTTAGGATTTCAACAACAAACAACGAGTTCGATATATTAAAACAATAAGTCAAATCATACGACTCAAAAATGTATTATGTTTGTCCTTAGCTGAATAAAAACAGAATTTTTGACGCAGAGATGGAGTACTCGAGTGCCGCTTTTCGGGACTCGTGACTCACTCGACTCGGACTCGCGCACTGATTGACGCGACTCGGACTTGGACTCGTGAATTCTCGCGCACAATGACTTGGACTCGTGAATTCCGCCCCCACAATGACTCGGACTCAACTTGTACATTGACGCTCCGACTTGGACTCGGACTCGTGAATTCCCCCCCCCCCCCCACGATGACTCGGACTCGACTCGTACATTGACGCACTTGGACTCGGACTCGAGCAAGTTTTCTCTGGAGTCTGATGTCCTCTATCCTGGCTTGTGCACCTGTGAGGCGAGTTCAGGTACTGGCCCCCGCTGTTCCAGTCTAAACATGTCTAGAGACACACTCCGCATGTGCTGTATGCTTTCACACATTCTGCTTCAACATTGGAAAAGAGCAGTGCAAAATGCTTGTTATGTTATGTGGAAACAAGATTGAAGAGAAGGCTCCGTAACACATTACTCTAAGGATCGAGTTCAGACATATAGGCTGTGTTGAACACTATCATCAGAGTAACTTGATCTAATCAATAAATAAAGATTCAGCCATAACACGAAAGCACATGGCTACTTAACATGCAGAATGATGTCATTTTGCATGCTAAGTAGCCATGTGCTTTCTGGGGCTTAATCTTTATTAGTAAACTGATTTAACCGGTAAATGTTCCTTCAAAATAAGAATTCCGATCTTATTACTATCAAAATAAAAGAGCAAAACGAAAACTTTACCATAGGAAAATATTGGCATACAAATATAATCACTTCTCTAAAAGTTGACTCATTTTAAATATAGTTGGACATATTAAAAGGTCATTTACAATAATAATATTAATATTAGTATTAAGCTTTATATTTGTATAGCACCTATTACAAGAATTGTAGCCAAACTCGCTTCACAACAGTTCAATAGACAGATTAGTATAACATGACAGGATAAAAGCAATGTAGAGGAGCAGCTACATTTCAACACATATATCCACGAAGATTAATACATGAAGACTTGTGACTCGGACTTGACTTGGACTCGAACACAGGTAATGATGACTCGGACTTGACTTGGACTCGAACACAGGTAATGATGACTCGGACTCGACTTGGACACTCCTTGGGTGACTCGGACTTGGACTCGGACTCGAACACAGGTAATGATGACTCGGACTCGACTCGGACACTCCTTGGGTAACTCGGACTTGGACTCGACTACGACTCTCCCTTGGTGACTCGGACTCGAAGAGTGGTGACTCGAGAGTGACTTGGACTCGTGAATTGGTGACTTAACTACAACACTGGTTTGACGTGTTGGGCGCTATAACAGCATTTATTTTTATTTTCTTTAAAATCTACTTACGGTTTCATGTTGAACATGTCCTTAACTCCCATGGTCTCTCGTTGTCTGTTCCTCTCGTTGATCAGTTTGTCTTTGGTCCAGGTCATGTGGACCCGATCTGGGGGGGCACCTGCAGGTTTGTCGTTCATTGCAGCATGAGACGCTGTGTTGCGGTCGTGGATCAACTGGGCCTAAACATGTCAGATCATACAAAATCTTTTTTCATTCAGCAATGTAACAAACATATTTATTTTGTCATTTATTTTAAAGGTCCCATGTCATGGCCATTTCTACTGATCATAATTCCATTGTTGAGGTCTACTAGAACAGATTTATACTGTTCAATTTTCCAAAATCACATTGGTTTCTCATACAGTATGTGTATTCACTCTGTCCTAAACGGCTTGTTGGAGCTCCTGCCCCCCCCCTCCTGATGAGCCCAGTAGTCGTCTGCGAGACAGCGAGACACAGCAAAACCCAGCCCGAAACCAGCCCGGACACACAAACACACACACACCCTGGCTGGGAGTTTGTGTGTGTGCTCAAACACCGAATCACAGCCTCGCCGCGTCCCGCCGTCTCAGGGAGGAGAAATCGGCAGAGCTGCAGCTGAGAAAAGATTGAGTGTGCGTTTGTGAGGAAGTAACGTAACGGCTCCACGGATTGGTCCATTTGGACCAATGGGTCCATTTGGGTATGGGCACGTCGCTGTACCCAGGAAGAAAACAATGGAAAAAGAGAAATCTACAACGAGGCGTTCTGGGGCAGCATAGACAGACAGGTCTTTTCTGTGTTAGAGTTTTACTCGCTACAGGGTGTACTTTGAGGGGTTGTGACTTTGCAGACCGTTTACATGCAGCAAAACCTTCATAACACACAAGGGGACGGGTAATAACCGGAAAAGCATGACATGGGACCTTTAATAAAACATTGGATTTCCAAATAAATCCTTTCTATTAAAGACCTAAATGAAAATGATCAAACTCTCTCTAGCCAAATCACAAAGCAACATAACTTGGCAAATATGTAATTGCTTAAAGTTGTTAGGGATATAAAATTATGATCAGAAGAGGTTAAAAAAAAGTAATGATTTAGATGTTACTTTAAAGGCAGTGAGGTAGACAGGATTATAGTGATGAGAGTACATGCAGGAAATACCACAGAAACACAAACTGAGTGTCTTTTCTTAGTAAACCTCCTGCTCTGTGTACGTGATCTCCATCGGTTGTCAGTGATGTTATATGTTGTTGCAGTCAAGCGATGAGTAGGGCACCGGGTCGCCAACTTTCTACGGTGCTGAGGTAGGTCGTGCCTGACGTTGCTATGAGTAACGATAACCAGCTAACCATATTACTGAAATCTAGCACCTCATTTGACCACGCCTTCCATTGGTCAATATTGACCACAATGACATCGAGGGAGATAAATGTGGCATTTGTCCGGAACTCCTACACAGACGTCTATTTGGCTCTATGAATACCTGTAAGAGGGAATGCAATCCAAATCATACTGAAAGTGGAACATAACCTAATGTTCCCATATACCAGTGGTTCTCAAAGAGGGGGGCGCGCCCCCCCTGGGGGGCGCAGAGGCATACCAGGGGGGGGCACGAGAGACCAGGAGGAAAAATGGTTATAACATTTTTTTTTTTTAAAGATTAAAAAAAAAAAAAATCATAATTTGAAAAATTATAATAATATGATGCAGTACAGTACTATTACGTCTGGGTCTCTGTGTTTCATTAAAGCTTGGCTCTGTGTGTGTGTGTGGAACGAGCCATTTTGTGTGCCCGAGCGAGAGAGAGAGAGCGCACCGGTACCGGAGATCGTTGTTGTTAGCTTCTGGTGCTAGCGAGCTACGCTAACAGATATAAGGAGTTTTTTCAACAACAAGGTGGAAGAGAGTCCTCTCCTGTCAGACTGAGAGACTCAGTGAGCTAAAGGACTCTCAGTGTTATCTCAGTGGGTCTCAAACGTTTTGGTCACCATTAATGTAAACAATTATTTCCGAGGCACACATGTATATGATCATTATAGTTATAAAAAAATAAGAGAATAAATGAGAACAGCTATGAATTACTATATGACAGTAAAACAAGAATAAAGTTTAAAAGGGTGATTTGTAAAATATCCATAAAGAAAAAGTAAATCTGTTTACAGTTCTGTTTCAAATGGGTGTTGAGAGATGTATCCATAGATCTCTTCATTTTGCTCTCAAAGTGCACCAGATTGATGCTTTTAACTTCAATATTTAAAAATAAATCTTCCCGGGGGAGCTTGCCCCCGGACCCCCCTATGTGAGGTCCACACACCACCTATAAAAATAGCACTTGACCCCTGCTTACACCTATATGCCGTGAGCTGATTATCGAGCCTTCATTGTAACAGTCGCGGGTACACTGTGTGTGTGTGTGGGGAGTGTTGCAGTAGAAAATTCCACTGTAGCGACCGGTACATTAATGGGAAACCCTAAATGTTTGAGCACCCTCTATGAAACGTCAAGCTACCCCACAGCACCCCCAAAAGAAATCTCTGGCGCCGCCACTGAGCCTGACTTGCGTTGGGGGGGCCCGACTTTTTTTTTTCTCCAAAGGGGGGGCCTGACAGAAAAAGTTTGAGAACCACTGCCATATAGTGAAAATAATCCTCTGGGTGCTCTAAGTGCCAAATTAGAGTTTTTGGATTAAGGAGAGAGACGTTCATGTTTATTAATACATGTTGAACTGTCTTCATCCATGGGAATAACATGTAAAGATTTTGTACAGGGGTTTAGTTCCCCTTATCTCAATAACTATTGGCTAGTAACAACAGGACAGGGATCCTGAAGGAACCACAACTGTTTCTAAAAACTACAAACATGTCAACTTCAAGTACTGTGAGTGTGGCTCTCAGTGAGCAGTTTGTCTTCCTCTAGTGGCCACTTGTGGTGCCTGTGTCTTTACCCAGTCAGCATTTACAGGACAGTGAAAAAAGGGAGGAGCGAAAACGATGAATCCCTGAGTTGAGCTCCTGATGATAGCACTGCCTCGAGCATTGCAGTTGTTATGAATGGATTATTATATGATAAAGGATGGCGTGATGAATGGTTGGAACAATGGCGTAATGGTTGGCTATAACAAGCCGTTTGGGTCCTGTGGCTACCTCATCCTCAGGTATGCACTGGGTGATGAGGGAAGGCACACCTGGAGACTTCTTCCTCTTTATGGAGCCGCGTGATACATCTGTGATGCTCTGAATCTGGAGCCGTTGTCCAATCATAAAACCCGGTTGGGGGAGAGTTTAAAGGTCAACATAAGCAGGGTGTTTCTATGGCCGATATCTCTAACATACTCACACCAAAAGATTAATAGAGGTAAGATACAACAAATATTGATATTTATAATGAGTGTCACAGTACCTCCCTCTCCCTCTCAGTGCGGGACAGCTGCATCTGTTTCAGCATCTGAGACCGCTGCTCCATCACCAGCGTCTTCTCATAGGTGAAAGCGGAGATGTCACTGTCATGCTAGGGGGACACAAAGAACATTTGCAACCACAGATTTTCATTCAAACACAAAGTTGTTTTATTAGCTTGATTCTAAAATGTGACATATTCTATTTCTTTATCTCTGTGAAGTGTCTTCGGCCACCAGCACATTTGAGGCATTTGATGTAGGGTTTGTTACAATTTAAAGCAGTTTAAAGTATTCAGCCTTTCGGTATCCTGCTCAAGGGCAGGTATCATCATTTGATACACAATCGAATCGACTGAGTCTCACCAATTCCACCACCTCCACCTCTGCATCCAGGCGTAGGTGGTAGAGAAACATCTGGAGGTCTTTTTTCATCTGGATGGAGTTGTCGTCCATCTGGGCCACTGTGAAAATACGCATTTTACACTTCCTCCATACCTGCAGAGGAAGGAGATGAATCAGTATCAGCAGGAATAAGGATGTCAATGTAAGAGCACTTACGTCTATCTTGGATCTAAGAGGGAAATGTGAGCAGGAAACTCAGCAATTAGTCAGCTATGTGTCAAAATGTGACTAATGCAGTTCATAAAAACACAATAGATGATTAAAAGAAGGAAATATAATTTGGATGGGGCACCTTGTGTTGACTGAGTAAAAATGGCAGCAGCATGAGGAGTCCTCCGTCATGAACGATCCACCACACATCAATGGTTCCCTCCTCCAGACGCTCCTGGTTGTTAGGGAAATGGTCGATGTTCTTGGCAACCATCAGAGCCAGATGAGCTGACGTGGTCTCTCTTACAGTTTCTATTCAGAGAGAGAGAGAAATATAGTGAGAGAAATTGCATTTCATATCTTTTATTTTCACGGTTGTGGGAATCAGCCACATAAGTTGTGTATCTCCCCGATTCAGCTTTATTTTTTTTCTCTTGAAAAGATAAAAGGTCCCTGTACTTGTTGCTCAAAAAGGCTTTTGTGTGTCTTTAAACAGCTTAAATCGTTTTTTAAAATAACCCAGATCGGTAAAGTTTTTAATATCTGAAAAAAATTGTTCATTCGAAAAATTCGACCATAAAAGCTATTCTTGGCCCTCATTTAAAATCATTAGGAAAATGTTAAATAAATTAAATAATAAAGATTAAGTGGATATGCTTAGTATAAACTGAATGTAAAACATGTCACTTACTTAATACCTTATGGACACTGTCATTCACACTGACATGATAGACAAACATTTGATGAGACACTATAAATGTAACTTATGTAATAAAATAAGATGCAAGATACATTTCATAGAAATACTTACATTTTACATTGTGCGCATAATTATGTTTTTTAGTTAGATTCAATAAAATGTAAGTGAACCTAAGGAAGGAAATATTAAACATGTATACATATCAACTTAGTGTCATTTTCTGAATACTGTAGAATTCTCCCCTTTGACTTTATCCTGGCACACGCTCCTGTGTAGTTTACCTATGAAGTTCCTCCTTGCAGAGGGGTCCCGGGCTTGTGTCCAGCCTGTGGGCCAGGCCATCAGCACAGCGTTGTGTTTCATTCCTCCCAGGCCGGCTGACTGGATGAGAAGGGAGAAACCGTCTCTCAGGTTGGACGACACCACCACATGGGAGAAACCCTTCATCTTCTCCACAGCCATCGTTGCTTTCAGGTTCTGTGAGAGGTGCAAAGGAGAGGAATGTAAAACTGGCTTTAAATGTAGAATTGTACGCAATACTGCGAGTGAGTCATTGCTTGAATCACATGCTGGCAGCCATTGTTCTACTTGTGTAATGAACTTCCTGTATACAAGTAATCCTGGCAAATGTAAGGAGAGCAAAAGCAGCACTCTGGTTAAAACTGATACTGGTTTCAACGTCACTTATATATCATTTATCTTAAACTTAGCAATATATAAACAAACTCAAGCATGACCAATGATGACACATAACAAACCATCCTAACTTCAAGCTGAGTGTTGACACCTTTATAAATTGATGATATGCTAATACAATTTATGTTTACAGCATGTTCTGCTTTACCCCAAGTGTCCAAAAAATATACATTAATGCAGATTTAAAAAAAATAAATATATATACTTATTTAGAGTTTATGGTAAAAAAAAGATGAGAAAACAAATGATACATCTACACAGCTGGATTATATCAGATTAAAAAGAAAGAGCAATTTAAAGAATTGTGTTGAAGAGTCATAAGCTTTAGCCATGTGAGTATTGCACAACAAACTTGAATAATTTGTAATGTTCTTTTTACAATACATTAATGTCTGATTGATAATGATTGAACAGGCATATTTGTTTACCATGTGAATAGGTGCAGCTATTTTTGGCACTTCTAAATGGGTGTTGTAGCCATTAATACTTAACACACAGTAGACCTGAGAAATAGACAGGACAGACCTGCTCTCCAGTCTTGGCATCGTTCCCCCGGGTCATGAAGGTTCCCTTCAGCACCGAGCACACGATGGTCAGTCCTTTTCCAGCTTTGAGCTGCGTGGTGAAGGACATAAGACGAGGGTGCTTCACCGTCAGGTCGGAATCCAACTTACACAACACCAACAGCTGGGGCCTGAAGAGAGAGAAAATTACATTTAAGAGACACATTAAGAATGACATATAAACAATTAAAGTATGTTGTTTGTAAAAATATGACTAAACAAGTTGGAATAAAACGATTTATTAAATGAGATTTAAGAGCCTAACAGATCTGATTACATCATTCATTACTACCAAAACACACCTTAATCTCAGACTTAAATGCGTTGGAGCTGCATTGTGGGTAATGTAGGTGCCAGGTTTCGTCAAGGAAGAAGCATATGTCAAATAAACAGCTGCTTTTCTTCAGCTGCAACTATTTTGATCCTTTTTTCTGGCGTTGTTCGTCAATGAAAAATGTAATTCAAATTTGTTTTAGATTTATATTCTCCCTATTTCCCACGAGGTGCATTTTAAATTTGAATTATATGTCTTCAGAACTATCCACTAACCCTTCACCGTAGCGAATCACACACACACACACACACACACACACACACACACACACACACACACACACACACACACACACACACACACACACACACACACACACACACACACACACACACACACACACACACACACACACACACACACACACACACACACACACACACACACACACACACACACACACACACACACACACACACACACACACACACACACACACACACACACACCTCCAATTTTTGGTGTGTAGTGGTACTTCCTCTAGACGGATGAGAGCGTATCGCGCTGCATTCAAGGACAGACCTCTGATCCCGTCCCCCCATTCCTTCACCGCCCTGCAACCAAATATAAAAGTTATACCTCTTTACAGACATTTAAAAAAGTAACATTTAAATATTTAATCATACAGTCTCAGTAGCATGCGAGATATGAAGCTATATTATATTTCACACAACAACAAATACACAGTTCTTCTTGAAGACTGCCTTCAATGGAGTGTTTAAATCAGTCTTTATGTAACTCACCCTCTGTACTCAATGTACTTATAGATACAGCCGGCTATCACCATGGCAACCAGGGCGTAGTACCAGGAGGAGATGAACATGAGGGAGAGACACAGACTCATCCCTAAGAATGACAGGCTCCTGAACACAAACAGTACATATTGGTACAAGTATAAGGACCAACATCTGTGTTTTTAATCAAAGCTTTAGAGAGCTTAAATCTTTCATAAAAAGCGCAGGATTAATATTAGATTAGGTTTTTGTTGGAGGCTGCTTTTACCAGTGATAGAACTTGAAGCGAGGTCTCCAGTTGGGGGTCCGGAGCAAAGTCTGAACAGCACAGGCCAGGTTCACAAACAGGTAGCACATTAGGAAGAACCTGAGCAGACACACAGAAAGAGAGATAGGTCTGTAACTAAATGCATTGAAAGAAGATCAGTGTGTTTTACATTATTACACAACATACATGGAGAGGATGGGGGCCACAGCATCCAGAGAGGCGATGAGGATTCCTATCTCACAGATCCCAACGGTCAGCAGCAGAGCCCAGGTGGGCTCCCCATTAGCCTTCCCATGACCAAAGACCTGAGGAAGACAGAGAAAGTAGAATGGTCTAAACAAAAAGTCGTAGTCAAACAGTATAGTAGCTGCAGTTTAAATTTGATCAAATATATAAAATGCGTCATTATTGAAGCTAAATACGGATTTACTTCAGCGACATTGTCTTATCACTACGCGACACTCGCGCTTTTATTGGCTAGCGCTCCAATGCATTGTGCGTGGCATCTTTAAGCGCTTGACCAATCACAACAGAGCCGGCCAGCTAACCAATCAGCACGGCCATAACAGAAAATAAAGCACTTTTTGAACATTAAAGCATGTAAACATGTCACAGTAGAGGCACGAAATACAATTATGAAATCTGAAAATGAGTATATTAGGGTTCCTTTAAATACTCAGAGGAACATTACATTTTACAGATCATTTGTGTAATGCAATACTGTCAGGATAGAATGGTTCAGCAAACATGACAAAAAGTGAGGGAACTTTTAACATTACCAACTGCAGCTGTTTGTACGAGCGGTTCATGAATGAAGCCCAATGTGTGTTGCTGAGAAACACTGTTTACAAGAAAACTCAACGTTGCACTTTAAGGTCAAATGTAACATTTGAACTGGAGAGAGTCACATAAAGTCAAGTCGTTTTATAGCTCAATATCACATATTGCTTCAGGGGACTTGAATCTGAACGGCATACAACACCCTCTTTCTTTCAGCTTTTTAAGGTTTTAATTGAGGTTAGAAATCGGTCTAAATCTGTATTTGAAAGTGTGTAAACGGCTTAAAATTTTAAATAGTCAAACAAACCCTCTTTGTGTCTGGGTGATGCTTAATTTTGAAAGCCCACAGGACAGCACCATGTGAAAAACAAAGTACTTTCAAACACTGACCTGTAAGAACGGGATGATGCCGTCCCGAGCGATGGCCTGCAGCAGACGGGGGGCGCCGGTGAGGCTCTGAAGCCCCGCCCCACAGCAGGAGAAAAACGAGCCAATCACAATCACCCAGGGTGACGGCCAGGCCAGAATGCCAATCACTGGGTTCTTCTTTACGGAGTAACCAAACCTGAATCACCCAAAATCAATCAAATGTATTTACAGAGCACATTTTGGACGACAGGTTTGGACTGAATTTGATTCAAAGTGTACAAAAAACTAGCCATCATTTGTTTCACTATAGAAGTAGAAGTTCATACAAAAACAACACATAAATCATACTTGTCTCTCAGCACCACTCCTTCAATACAGGCTCCAAACAAGACCACACAGGAGATGTCTGAGCATGAAGTTAAGATGGAAATACTATTTTTTAAATTCATTTTGCAGTATCAAACCTGACCTGTGACATTACAATACACATTCACACAAATAAAGCTGACAAATACACGTGTGGCTGCTCTCTATCATCAACTGACACTAGTTTGTATAAACTGCATCAGCTGCACACGTGCAGAAAGAGGATACAGATGAAAGAGGTGGTGAGAATAGCCATAATGGTTCCGATTGGGATGGACCTCTGAGCATCTCTGAGATCACCAGACCGGTTAGAACCAGCCATTATACCTACAAATCAATACACAGTAGGAAGGGGAAAAAAGCAGTGGCATCAATCAAACAGAGCTTCACTGATGGTTACAAGTTTTTTACATGTTAAGCTTCAAATCTCTGTCATCATCCTAAAACTTAAGAAATGGGATTTTAATTTGTTTTGGCATATGAATACAACTTATGTTGTTACTAGAACCTGTTAATGCAGATGCATGCCTCCCTTTGTGTGCGGCAATAAAAGCACATTGTTTTTGAATGGCTCAACAGCAAAAGGTATGAAATTAAGCAGAATACATTAGATAAAAATCAAGTTGTGTGTTTTGTACATGATGAAATCTATGTTTCTTTTGAACTGAGACAATTACCAAAAGGAGTACTGAGGATGGAGTACACAGCATATGTGCATGCATGGCACCTAGGCGTTAACGTTTTTTAATTAACGTAAGGAAAGGTGTTAATGTACTTGAGTACTAAAAGAAAAATATAATACATGTCATAGAAATGCTCATCATGCTTTACTTCTTATTTCAGAGTATGCTCATATTATAGAATGTTGTATCACAATCATTTCTTATTGATAAAACGTTTTTTGATGTACCTGTCACAGAGGGGAAGTATATTCCCACCAGCAGAGTGAAGTAGGTGCTGATGTCATTGAAGACGTAGGGCTTATACACATCATCGGTGGTGTCCTGGGTTTCCTCTATGGAAGGCTGGCTTTTCTTCTCTATGTACGTACCAGCTGGCCCATAGTCGCCCCACAGGTTGTCTGATAGAAAAAAAACATATCTTTAGCCGTATGAACATCAGAGTTCCTTTTTTTCTCTAGGGGCAATAACTATCTTGAGGCTCCTTCCTCTCCACCTCCTCACCTTTAATGACTCCGCTCAGGAGCCCGGGTATGGCCCGTAGCTCCGTCAGGTTGTTTAAGGTGAAGTATTCGTCACAGGTCGCGTTTGAATATTCACTGTCACAGAAGAGGCTCCACACCTCAGTGATCACCGTGATGTTTTTAATAACCTCTGTCTTGGCGCATGTTTCAATCATTTCGTTCTTCAGAGATCGGTTTCCAAGCAGACAGACGCTGATGAAGAGAGGACAGTGTAGTGGAGTTAGATAAAAGCAGCTGTATATATTGAGGTACATTTCTGACTGGGACATATATGCTTTAGAACTACTGAGAAGTGTAAATAGATAAAGTGGATTTTTTCATTTGAGAGTGGTTTTAAAAAGGTTGATGTACCTATGAACCTAGTATGGACAGATAATGAAACGCTGCTATTTAGAACATTTGATTGGATAAAAAAGAACCATGATCCAAAATCTCAGATCGTTATTTTTTCTTTTCCAGAGAGTAAAACAAATCCTATTAAATAACAAATTGACCTACATTGAAATGATGTGGAATACTTAATACATATATTTTTTCTAGAGCACCTCACATACTTTGGTTTGTTTTGGCAATGATATGAAAGATATATTAGACCGTAAGCGTTATAGGGAAATGTTAGATGTCTTGAAAAGGGGTTGTATTAGGCATGAATCTATTGTTAAAAGGTGGGGTAGGTAATTCACTTCAGAAACACTTTGTTATATTCCATGGAATGCTCTTAACATCCCGATAGCAATGAATAAATTAAATGCGTTGACAATAAATATATAAAAATATTTCATCTGTGGAAGCCGTAGCACTGTAAAAAGCACGACCAATTATCTGAGCCGGCCCGGCTAAAGTAACTGGATGGCCTACCTGCCTGTCAGCCTTCCATCTGTGCACAAACTTATCTCGTGCCCTCATTGGTCATGTGCGCGTTCGTGTGTGTTGGAGGAGGGACTCTGTAAGGAACTCTGAAGGAAGGGGCAGATTTTTTTCGGTTGTGTACTTTCAAATTCTAGCGCACTCGAGCTGGTTTCTCCATTCTTACCGGCGGCACGATTCCATTTCGGAGAAACAGGCTGGAGTTATAGTATACGATCTAGGCAATGTGCAGCAAAATGCATAATATAGAAACCAAACTAAACGCCTACCTAAACAAATGTAATCTACTGATTTTCAGGATATCTTCACCACTTATCTTTGTTCTCTTCAAAGACATTAAAACAGCACCATGAAAACATGTCAGTGTTTAATGAGACATTTTTATTTAGATTTCAGGAACTCACTTGAACTCTGGTGGTTCGATTAATGTCTTGATGACTCCTGCATAAGTGGCCATGATGGAAAGAACGACACAGGCCAGAAACACCAGGGCCAGTTTGTTCACATACCTGCAAAAAGAAGGGAAATACATCAGTCTGTGTTTTAAGGCCATATTATAGGAACATAAATAATTGAAATGAATAAAGAATGCATGAGAGTCTTACGGCATATGCCATTACATCTCTTTGAATTGAATTGTCAACTGAAATAAAACCTACGTAATTTGTGTAAGTGAATACTTACTTCACTCCGACAAACACTACCAGAGCCATGAGGAGCAGGCAGCACGTGCCGTAGACACGCATGTTGTTGGACATCGCTGCACTTTCGCCCTCTTTAAACACCGTTGCTGTTGGAATAATGTATGTCTGGCAGCAGAAGACAGAAGAAAGAGATGTAATTTCAATATAACTGATGTGACTGATTTTTATATGTGGAAGCGTGTGGAAGTGGAGTGTTGATCATACCAGCAGAATCTCTATGGTGCCCAGTATGTACATAGATCCAGCGAAGGTGGTTCCCAGATAGAAACAGAGACCCACAGCCCCTCCAAACTCCGGACCCAACGATCTGGAGATCATATAGTACGAGCCACCGGCTTTGGAAAAATAAATCCTGGTTAGTTACTACAAAAGATTTTCCTTGATAGTTTTATTTTATTTTATAAAAGTTTAGTAACAAATTATTTTGAGAAAAGCTTTGACTTCTGATCTGATTCAACATCAGTCATACCTTATTCTCAGATACATTCAGCGTGACAGAAGCAGGAGTGAATGACAGACTTTTTGTCCTGTGTTTGTCTCTCACGCAACCGACACGTTATGTTATCTTACTGATAAAGGTTGTTGGAGCTCTATGATGCCTACAGAGGCTGATGGCAAAAATTACTCGGGGCAGAATGCAATGCAAGAGATTTTTATGGAGTTTGCATTCTTCAAATAAATTACAGTACAGGAAAATAGGGCATCGTTGTATGCATCTGCAGTTGCAAGCTATTGCATTTTAAAAATTGCAGTGGAATAGTAAAGGATCATGATAGCAAGAATTCAAAATGTACCTGGGACAACTCCATTGGTTGCTATGGCGCTCATTGATATGGCCGTAAGCAAGGTCTGTGTGGAAAGAAACACAAGCGACGTTAAGTAATGGATGAAGCAAAAGAGATAAGTGTACAGAATGCACTGTACTAATTGTGCAAGAAGAAAATGCTTTTAAAAAACTGGGTTTTTACATTGAATATTATGATCTTATACTGCCATAACTTTATTTAAACTTGCTACAAACAAAATTAAAAAAAATTCACACTTTAAAGTATATTTTTATCACTGATTACAGCATAGTTTTGGGTGCCATTTTATGTTTTTTTGGTTTGGTGACCTAACTTTGAGTCATTTTATAAATGACTGAGGTAGAGGAGAGACAGAAGGACTTTTCAAAAGTTAATATTACTGTTCGAGACCTTTGTTTGAATAAAATGCTATATACAACTATGGTTTATAACAGCATTATTTGATCAAAGTAATTAAATTAAAGTTTATTTGAATGTCTATATTCAAAATCAGGGTTACATTATGCTATTTAAATTTTAAAAAGCACACATTTTTTCCGGAACAAGAACAAAATGATAGTTGGAATTTGACGGATTTTGAAAACCCAGTGCAATAAACACATTTTAGGCATTATATGTCTAAATATTGCTGTTAAATAACCAGCCTTAACCAGAAGCCAAATCTAACAGCGGCACCAACATCACATAGCCTCCGTCAGTGTCTCTGGTCTAAGTCATCAGAGCCAGTCAGAGTGGCTATATATTGTAGGAGTGTGTTAAGTGCAGACTGTTCACATCACATGAGTGCTGAGCATTTGAAGTTCAAACTTTGCAAACAGTCAACTCTCTGTTTGGTAGTGGAGCTACTGACGTACGAACCTCGGTTGTAAATAAGACACACATTTCCTGCTTGTATGAGGACCCTCGTTTGAGTTTAAGCATACAGATTACTGTAAAGCCGTCATAAATCAACACCATAAATTCAGAGGAGGGGGTATTGATTGGCTTTCAGTTGGTGAGCCATTCGTCAATTTCAGACTTAAACTCCGACATATATCGCTACCCGGTTCAGGCACTTAGAATTATGGCCAAGAGAGCCTCTGCTTGTTTGTCTTTCCTTCATTCACAGTAATGCCACTAGCCACATTTTGAGGAAAAACTGTGAAATGAAAGCACATTCTCATATCCATCATATAGGGATGGCTCATCAGAAACCTTTGGCATCACTGTTTACATATCTTAAAATGTCAATGTGCATGGAAGTGAAATAGACTTCACACAAGATCAGCTGTGAGTTACGTACATGACCGTGGTAACGTTCCTTTTTGACGTTTAAGAAAAGATGATATTTGCAATGGTTAAAATAAGTACGCTATTAAGTATTAATAACTCAACTTGAGTACTGTATGTTACAGTACAGCACAATTAAATGTGCCAACTGCTAGGACTGTCTTAGGGAAGATGGCATTTAGATGCGCAGCTCCACGGTCTTGGAATAGTCTGCAAATGAAATGGAAACTGAGCAATCTGGTGCCACTAAATGTTTTTAAAGCTCGGTTGGATGCTACTCAATCGGAAGCTGTTGGTACCTGTTCATGTGGATAGTTATGTAAATTGTAAATCCCTGTAATGATGCTGTATGATGTCCTTTTTGTTGTTCTGTTTATGTTTTGAATGTTTCATGTGGAACCTACTTGAGCAGGTCTCCCTTGAAAAAGAGATCAATGGTCTCAATGGGAAACACCTGGATAAATAAAGGTTTGAAATGAAATGAAACAAACATCTTTGTAGTTAGTGCAACAAAATCTGAATTGATTCCGATTTTGGTTTCCATCGATAATAGACCTAAACAATATGCTGCGCCACATGAAAGTGGCACTCTGCAGCCCTTCTCACAGCTCGTAAGGCTTCTTAGTGCTTGCTGTGTTCTCCGTGAAGGGGGGGGGGGCGGGGTTGCTCCCGGGTCAGCTGTCAACCAGGGTGAACTGTTCATTGTATGGCAATGATTATTTCCATAAGCAGCTCTTCTTTCTTAGTGAAAGCAAGAGATGATGGTGGTTTTGGGTTAAAATAAGTGTGTACATATTGATGCTTGTGGTCATTTACCAAGCTGTCGTGATGCATTACATATCATTTCAAAAGTGGGATTACTTTCCCAAGTTTGACACAACATTTCTTCCAACTTCCTGCAACACTTTCAGCAGGAAGTCCATGTTTAGCTATTGTATTTATAAATAACTTACACAGATACAGCACATGGAGACGATGGCGAAGGATCCTAGAATTCCTGCGGTGCCTACGATCCAGGTGAGACGCAGAAAGAGAATCACACCCAGGATGTTCTGCATGCAGGGCAGGTAAACTCCAATGAAGGTTCCCATTTGAGGGACCTGGGGATAGACACATAATAAAAAGACTGATGTTATAAATAATATAAATGTAACCCTTTAAAAAGTTGATCTGCTGGACAAAAATATTACATTTCCACAAACTCTCTCAACTAAATATTGGGTCTAAGTGGGGGGGAAAAGATGGAAGTCAAACTTGATAAGAAGAAAAGATAAAACCGTTCCCATGACACATGAAAAGAAAATGTATTTGGCCTACTGAGTTTGCGATACAGGGATTTTCTCACAATAATTATTATATAATATGTAATTGAATTAAAGCATGTTAGGGCTGTGCATTGGCACAAATCTTGTAATACAATACTGTATGTATTGTGATACAGTTTTTGTCAATTAATATATTGCAATGCTGCAATGCCTTTACTACTGCAATTGTATCCACTGGCTAGGGCTGCTCGATTATGGCAAAAATCATAATCTCGATTATTTGGGTCAATAATTGATATCACGATTATTAAAAACGATTATCCTATTTACTTTGAAAACATCCATTTATGTGAACGGTATGTTTTTAACAGTTGATTACCCTGAACTTTAAGTATAATTCAACTGAAAAACCAATAAAACATTTATTTTAAAAGAATCGTTTTTATGTCGATTATATTGTTTTCATAATTGTTGCTAGCCAAAATCGTAATTGCGATTAAAATACGATTAATTGAGCAGCCCTACCACTGGCCGCCTGATATTTTAGCATTCAAACTATTACTTTGAAATGTTCTTGCAAATTATCAAATCTAATCACAAATAGACACAATATTACTTTTTCCCGTAAAATAAAATAACAAATAAAATATAATCATTACATGTCACTTGTTATCATCCAAAGCGACATACACACATTCAATACTGTGGGCGCTCCCCACAAGAGCAATTTGGGTTGAAGAGTCTTGTTCAAGGACAAAGCGGCATGCTGACTGCAGCGGGATTTGAACCAGCACACTTAGCTACTGAGCCACAGCTTCCCAGAGAAATATTGTCCAAAGTATAAAGTCACTGTGTTTAACCTCCTACGGTTTAAATATTAACGCTAGATTCTTAAATATATAAAGTATGCATTACACTGCACAAACACATACATCTATACTACTTGACCCCCCCAAAAAAACGTAAGAGTACATACCATTTTCCGAGATACAAATACTTTGTCCTGTGCTTTCTCCACTGCGCTCAGTTGTGTGCCTAAATACTGTGAAGTGCCTGATGTAGATCTCCAGATATCCCACATCTTCTCCCTTGAGATAGTCTATCTTCCTCTTGTGTCTGTTTCTCTCCCCCTGCATGGTCTGTCTTTTTATTTTTGGTCTCAGTCACAGCTATTAATCAGGGGGCGGGTTTCACTAAAACATCATCAGTTCTTCCACTCTGAGCTATGGTCCTACTGTGTTTCACTCAAGGGCAGCAAGAAGGCCAAGTAGGCAAGTATTGTTGTAATTGGATCATATTCAAAATGCTTGAATGTGACTTGACTCTAAGTCCCAACTGTCTGCACACCACAGACAAACCTTTCTCCACCAAAATAAGTGGATATATGCAGGTTTTAATTAAAGTAGGCCAGTAGATGAGTATGCCTTTTGTTTTTGTGAACACGCTGGAAAACAGGCTTATAAAACAACAATGGTTACTCAATTTTTATATTGGTTACTTATTCAGTCTTTCGTTCTGAAGATGTTTTGGATTAGTCTATTTTGTTTCTGTGGAGTTTGAAAGTGACATTGATCAGTAATGTAAATTACTGTTACGGTCAAAGAAGCCTGGTGGATTTAAGCAGAATATATTAAATCACATGTTTTGTATGTCAATAAAGGATAATAATTGGCCACGTTTCTTTCATTTTATTTACTATATATCCACAACAAATGTCACAAAGCATTGCGTTGAAAATGGGTGAAAATGAGTGTTCTCCTTGAACAGATAAATAGCCGTGACAACTGAAGTAGGTATTTGTTGTGGAACAAAGGAAGATTCTAACATTTCCCACAGAAGACAAAAAAACAGACGCAAGTGGGTGTTATGTCTAATGGGAACAAAGATTTAAACTTAGTTTGCCTCTCTAAGCTGAGGGTAAGTTTACTGTCCAGTCTGAACTTCTGTTTTACAAATCTAGAGGTGAAGACAGATTCTGTTACACTCTCTTTGAGATGGGTCAAGTTTGAGCAAAAGAAAAGTGTCCTTCCTGGTCATGACCTTGACATAATTACTAGTCAAATGTTGGTAATTCTAGGATTTTTTTCCCACACAGAGCGGGGGAATTTGCTCCACATAGCAGTCTCAGGACAAAGGAGGTGTAACTAATCTTGTGACTTCGCTAGAGGTTGATCTACACTTATCGAGGTACCATCAAAGAAACAAGATTCGAATGTTTGAAGAAACTATGAAAAGTACACAAGGCTACAGAAAGTGTCACATTAATTCATGTATGTTTGGTTTAACTAGTAATGTATTCTGTTTTTGTTGTGCTAACCCACTCTCACCTTCTGAAAGATCCTGAGTGTGTCACATGAACCTCAAGTGATTCAAAAAGGATATATTTAAAAGGTCAGAATCTCTTATCTCTTGCTATTGGCCTCAAAATAACTCCCCTTTATCTTGCTATTTAACACAGTTATGCCCCTTATTAGCATTGTTTCTGTTCTATTTGAGGAATCATTAACATGGTTTTATGCAGGAGCCTACTGATATCATCAAAAAGTTCAGGGCAAACAACATTTTTGGTTGCTTATTAAAGAACTAGACTTTTAAAAGAAACCATTCCTTCATTCAAAAAAGCTCCTATAAGCTCTTTTGAATGGTTTTAGCAGTTTGTAAGGTTGTGTTTATTTTACATAAATAAACATTAGTACCATAAAGATTACCCTGTTAGATATTCTGCTGCCCCCTTTGTACTTAGTAGGCAATACAAAATCTACAAATCTTACATGATGAAAGGTTTATGGGACATTGCACGACTTTATCACAATAAAGTCCATTCTTTGAAGATATTAAGGAGCTGCCTCATCTCCTCGTGATATCCTCCCCAGGATCAAAGTATGCAGTTAACTGTTCTCAAACTCTTGATAGTCAGCAAAACTAAGAAGGAATTATTTTAGCTGAAACTCATTCTATTTCCTTAACCTAAAGTCACTGCCAATTTTAACAATTGCTGAAAATTAGATAACTAATAGTTAAATACCATACATTTTCCAATGTCGCTTTACTAAAGCATAAGATACTCCAATTTCAATGTAAAGCCAATAAACCAGAGATGGAAATAAAAACAACTCTCAACAGGGACACTCGTGTAAACTACATCAGACATGTTTTTCAGGTATAACTACAGGAAGACTAGTCTGGATTTAAAAAAAGTTACACCTGTCATTTTCAATATTCAAATGTATCCCAGCACAAAAGTCAGGTCCATACCGTGACCGCGACCCTCCTGACCCCATCCTCGTTATCGTACTCCTCGTGCTCCCGAACACCCTGGGTCAGGTTGGTGTAGTTGGCCAGCCTGCTGAGAAGAGATGATACCATGGGATTACTCTCCATTTCCTCCTGCGGAGAGACAGAGGGACATGTATGAATTAAATATTAAAGCACAAATGGACAGGTTTCATACTGTGCCTATACCATAGATAAAAATGCAACATGAATTTGCTTTAAAAATAGCAGCTTAGTGGACAATGCATGGAATGAAAACTATGTTGTACAACATCCAATGTTTTGACATTTTTAAACACGGTGAAACTACATATGGAGAAACATGTTTTTTGTCTTACCTCAAACAGGGCCATGTTCTTTCCATCATAATATTGTTCTCCGTCATCATCTGAGTTGATGAAGGGAGTGGACTCTTTTTGACTGTTATCACCTAGCAGGAAACACAGGAAAAATCAATACTGTAAGATTGATGGTCTATTGATGGAGCAGCGAAGGAAAGCGGCAGGATCATCAGTTCTTGTGTTGTATCTGGAAAAGCTGTGGAGGTTTGGTAAAACATGCATGCAAAATGAAAGTCATTGCTGTTGTCTGGTAAGAGCACTTTGAGCCGATGGTTGTTGAAAAATATCCTGCTATTTGCTAGAAATGTTACCTAATTTTCACACAGCTAAAGCTAGTTTCCACTAGCAAGGCAGTGTTAACATTTCAAAAGCATATAACTGGCAGCAGATAAATACAAACTGTAATAAGATGTTTCAAAATCTCCATGTTAAACTTTTATACACTATGCGAATTTGTCAATAAACCAAAGCAAACCAGAAACAAAAGCTGTGAGTCACTCAGCACAACATATTAAGCTAACGTTAGATAAAACATAATAATTAGATATAAAGTATATGTACAGATATGTCAGTTAACTTTAGTTCAGACATTTTAGATTGTTTTCCCATTCTCAATAACGTGTTGAGGGAGACACCAGCACTTTTGACTCATTTTGTTTTACCTTTACCAGAATATCAACCTAAAGAAAAATCATCAGTACCGTTGATAATGTAGTGTTTTGCTATGCAAATGTGTAATACATCCGGCTACTATTTTGAACTCTTCTGATGCTGTCATAAGATATCCCTTGCCCGTGTTAGCCATTTATCTGCGATTTTTGTTTGTGAAAAGCAGCATGAGGAATATAGGACCAATGACCATTAATCATCTGGCTCTACACATCTGTATCATCCATTTTATATTAGCTATTTTTTGTAAATCATTTTTATTACAAGGTCAAGACAGAGAAATTAAGCCTCTTCCCAAAGTTTAGACTTTTGCTACAATCTATGGAAGCCTGTTTGCGCCACAGGACAAAAAATAAATAATCCTGTAAGTCATTATAAAGCTATCTCATTATAATGACTTAGCTATCTTATTATAATGACTTAATATCTCATTATATTGACTTAATATCTCATTATATTGACTTAATATCTCATTATATTGACTTAGTTATCATTATATTGACTTAGTTATCATTATATTGACTTAATATCTCAAATCAGGCCTCCCTCAGTAGACACACATTTAGGTGGCACAGCGTATGTTTCGGAGAGATGTGGGATAGGCTTGACGTGTTATTGAGCTCAACCTTGTCTTCTAAGAAGGTAACAGTAAAAACGGTGCCTATTCCAGTGAAGCCACGAGGGGTAGAGCGCTGGTTTGTCCTTGCTTCCTTTTTGTTTTGTTTTCTTTCATTTGAGCCACCGTGCCACATTAGACTTCCTCCATTCATGTAACGCAGTAAACAGAGTCGATGTGACCCTCTAAAACATGCAGGCCTAAAGGATACATAAAGATACACTATGGTCCACTCGGATAGTTTGCCATCTCCGTTCTCCACGAAATTGTTTGCAAGTGTTTTGATCGAACAGGAAAATGTGCACTGTTGTAGATATTTGATAGTGTGTGTGACGTACTATGCAAGAGGAAACAGGCCATCATCAATAGCCATAATGTCCATTATCGCCCACCTCATTAAAATTCGTGGAATCCTCCCTCTAAAAAGAAATTGCACCATATATTTGATTTCACATTTAGTTTTATGACATTTTTAAACTGAGGCGCAGTACAGTGTATGTAAATCAGGAAGTTTGTATATAGAGAATTAATGATTGTAACTGTATGATGGTCTGTAGGGCATTATACTGAAACACATTGCTTACCTCAAGACTTGAGACAAATCTCTCTTTTCTCTCTCCTGATGTTTGTTTGGCCTCTCAGTCAGACTCTTTCTTTTTTTTACGTTTGCTTGTACCTAGGCCTTCTCTCATATTTGGACATGTTATATATTGTATAATCTACACCTGAAGCACTATGGTATAGCAAACTAACACAAAAGCTGGTCAATGTTATGTGTAATCTATTTAAAGAGGCATTTATAGACACTATATAGGCCCACACGCGCTCATCTGCAGATGATACAATTATTTTTTAAATGATCTATAATTGGCTGATGTTTGAAATAAAGCTGAGTTTCTTGTGGCTTCAGTGATAGTACAGTATACATGTTGCTGTGTTTAAGTGTGTTATGTCCGGAAAACACTCAGAAACAATCCAGTGGGTACAGCTAGTCACAAACAAATAAATATATGATTGTAAAGATATACGTTTGATTAGGAGTCATAATACAGTGTATGCTTTGACCTTGGTATATATTCAGTATCCAAACAAGGCCTGATTCATCCTCTCATATTACCAAAACTTATAAGTCAATATAATGAGATAACTAAGTCAATATAATGAGATATTAAGTCATTATAATGAGATAGCTAAGTCATTATAATGAGATAGCTAAGTCATTATAATGAGATAGTAAGTCATTATAATGAGATAGCTAAGTCATTATAATGAGATAGCTAAGTCATTATAATGAGATAGTAAGTCATTATAATGAGATAGCTAAGTCATTATAATGAGATAGTAAGTCATTATAATGAGATAGCTAAGTCATTATAATGAGATAGCTAAGTCATTATAATGAAATAACTAAGTCATTATAATGACTTACAGGATTTTATTTTTTTTCCTGTGGCGCAAACAGGCTTCCATAACAATCAGCTTTTGTAAAGACAACTGCTTCTCAATTTGGTATATTTTGCCCCTGGTCATCATGCTTTATTAAGTTTGGTATGTTATCACACTAGATCACACTGTTGATGGCACATTTTCATTGCCTCAACTGTCAATGGTTAAGAAATCAATGAAAGGCATTTCATAAGAAGAATCGTGTACTGTGGATGCACATGACATGTGAGCATTGTAACAAAATCTAGCATGCAATGTTTAGTTGGGAAGTCCCTCGGTGGGCTCCAAGCCAAAATGTTTGTCCTTTAAAAACACACTGAAAGGATCTTTATGCAAAATCTAAAACCCCAGTGTGTATGAGGTTAAGGACAGGTCAGTGTTAGTTTTGTAATCAGTGCTAGCTTGGTGTCATTCTGCACTTACTCTGTACCCATGAAAGAATACAATATATTTGGTTGAACAAAGGAAGTATATGGCAACTTCTCTGCCTCACAGGGAATGGTTGTATTTTGTATCTATGTCACTGACTGTTTGTTACACTCATCAATGTATTTATTCAAAAAGAACAAGATACTTCATGTATTATCACAGTGGCAGAAACGTTTGTCTGCATATTCTGAGAAAATCTTATTTCCATAATTCAAAAGTCAGCTGGGGCTTCCTGGGGCCATATACATATAGGACTGAACACTATGAGACATATATTGATAATACAATAGAAAAAAACATTTAGAAACACCTGATTAATGTCAAGTCAGATGTTGTAAACTATGTAATTTGATGGGTTAATACAAGCTTGCTTACATGCAATGCATTCTGGTGAATCATAGGCTGACTATGCTAGGCCTGAAGGTCTTTCAAACACATACAAATGTAGTTAACAATCTTCAGTAAACAGTAACGTGTATACTGGGTTCATTGTCATGTTCCTTGTAACAATGCCATGATATTTCTGAACTGTCTGTTGGACTGTGGACTTCTATTGAACATTCATTGCCTAGGCTAACATTAACCTTCCAAACTAACTACCTACCCTAACATAATCTGTAACTTCAGTCGCATCCTAATCTTTCCGTTTCATGCTCCGGAAAGAGGTTTTCCTTTATTAATGTTTTCAGCAATTATATTAATTCACAATAGGCTATAAAAGGTGTGAGTATCTCTCTCTTACTCACAGTTTTGTTTTAATTTGCTTTACACAAAATCTAACATCATGAAAAGCTTCAGATGCAGTAATTGTGTTAACCAGCAGATGTCCAACTTTCTCTGTATCCAACAGCAGGGTGTTCAAGATGCTAAGTTTAATCAAGCACATCACAACATGTACACTAAATAATCATTTTACATGCTGCTAATTGATTGGCATGTGTTGATACATTACTAAAATGAATTTGGTCGACGTGTCACTGAATGTTTAAGCCCAATTGAGATGCTTCTGATTAACCTTATTTGCCAAGTGATGAATCTAGTTTACCAGTACTATCTTAGACATTTGCTATGAGGGTGTTTCCTTCCAGTGAAAGCTGAGTCATACAAGATTTAGTTATTCTTTAGTTTTTTCAGCATCTTTTATATAAAGCACAAAAGACGTTGGATTGGGTTGGTCAACATAATGAGCCTAAAATAGTCTGAAAAAATGTGTTAGCTGCCATTTTGAATTATGAGAGTAGTGTCAAAACTATGTTGAAGCAAAGAGTCAAAGCTGCAAAATGGGTATTATAGATTTCATAATGAAGTCAAAGATTATACCAAACCAATACGCTAACCATGCACATCTTAGAGTGAGTGAGTTTCATACCATTTTATTGGCACTCCACAACTGAAAACAAAACAAACGTCACAAGGGTTTTGGCTAAAAGTAAACTTCTACTCGAGACACTCAACCCTTGGCAGTAAGCCCACCCCTACCAGGTTTACACAATGCTATTCAACATCCTTTTCCTCAGTTTGCTATTGTTGCCAGAAAGTCCTGTGTTTAATACCCAGTGGCCCTTAACATGGGGCTGATCACGCATGGTAACGACAGAATCATTATTATTTTAGTCAATATTTACATGACAATTATCCAAGACAATTACTTATTGACTTTGGAAACATCATATATGAAGTAAATGCCACAATCTAGTGCACTTTGAAGACAAAATGAAGAGGCTAAATCTATGAAGAACTGTTAGCTCATGTCACTCTCTGGCAGATAAGCATACTCCAAAAACAATGAATAAACACTGAGATTAACTACTCTACGTTTTACTCCCGTCTTCTCTGTTAAAGGTCTCCTATTATACTGTTTTTCATCAATATATTATATGTCTCAGATATAGACAAAACATGTCTCTGAAGTGTTTGGCTCCAAACACC